CCAGCTCCAAAGTCCAGGTTGTCACTAGGGGCTGTGAACACCATGGACATGATGAAGTTCTGCAGGCAGACTATGCTTTAGAAGATGGAAAGACAAGATTACTCTGCCCAAGAAAAAAAAAAATCAAGATTAGGACGGGTCTAGGCAAGAAACCCAAACCTTCAAAACCCAAACAAAATCACTGTGGGTCTTTTAGCTTTGGTTTGTGTTTTGGTTTTTTTTTTTCCTAGACCTTCAGGTGAAACCTTGATTTCTAATCTGATTTTGAACCTTGCTCTGGTGTTTTGTTCTCTGGTTTTAGCAGTGCCCAGGGGAATCAGCAGTTAAATCCAGGTCAGTGCAGTCTCTGATAAGCATCAGCAGTCAAACATGTACTCTGATTTTATACAGAGGGTTGTGTGATTGTTTTTATAAAGTATACATCAAATCTCAGCCACTTGGTAATCATAATGAGACAGAGCCCATGGAGCTGTTTTGTTTTTCTCTTGGCAGGTTTCTCCTTCAGTGCTCTGCTTGCAAACTGTCCACAGTGATGCACAATTATTGACTAATAGGAAGCCGGTTGTTATTGCAAGAACTCTTGAGATCCCTTTTTCATATGACTTTAATAAAGCAGTGTGTGGAAAAATGCTCAGGTATTGCCATCATGACCACAATGAAATTACAGCAATCTGCTCCTCTTCCAAATGGTTTGCAGCAGACATGAGCTGAAGTGTTACACGTGGCAACGATCTCATGTGCCCCACATGAGTGATACTTACTTCTTCTTGGCTACGTGGATGTGAACCAGCAGCTGTAACACTGCAAGTGCCATTGCTGCAGTTACTGTCGCACAACATCCTCTTCCTTCTGATACTCCAAAGGCAGTTCCAGGTCTGGTGCAACAGGTCCGGCTCTAATGATTGCTGTCTAAAAGCGGAATGATCTTGTTTAAGAGAGTGAGGGGGGAAAGCCAACATGAATTAAACCCAAAGAAGCAAGCAAGGTGGTAGAAAACAAAGACTATTAGGGAGCATGTTTTGTGCCACACCAGAGAATTTTCCTCCTTGCCCACTGGCTTCCTTCGCTGTTCAAACACTGCAAATTGTGCAATATCATGGTTTTTTTTAATCTTTGTACTTAAAATCAGATTCCTTACCTAAAAAGAATCTTAAAAAACAGATAAATCCTTAACCTGCCCTTGTTTTAAGGCCTAAAACTATGTGGCCTTCTCCATTGAGGTCTACACTCTTGTTTTTCTGTATGCAAAATGTGTGATCCCAGCTGTCCCAGCCTGCTGAGCACTTGAGTACAAATGCAGAAGTAGCATCTCTTCAGAGATGGCAAACTCTGGGACCAAAACGTGAGCAGCAGGGACTTCTACTTTGTTTTTCAGCAGACAGAACGTGTCTGGATAGAGAGCTAGCATTTTTAAAGTAAGTGCATAGAAAAGCTGTGTTTAGAAAAGCCACGAGGGAGTTAGGATAATGGCTGGTTCTCTTTGTCCCCAACAATATGAGAACTTCCACAATTGTTCATTAAGGCAGGAGCTGATACTTTAACAAAAAGCAGACTTTCTCTGCTTTATCCCCAACAGAGAGATGTATGTGTTAAATAAAAGCACAAGAAAAAGACCAAATGGGACACAAGAAGACATAAATAGTCTTTAAATAGTTGCATAGTTTAAATGCAAGATGCTAGTTTCATCTTCTCTAGCTTTAAAAAACGTCACAGTTGGGTAATGGAAAACGGTTGGGTAATTGCCTGAGATCCAACAAAAAAAATCTTAGTTTTGTTTGCCGCACCAGGTGATGTCTGCAACTGCTCAAATCCTTGCTATGTGAAACATGAAATACTTGCCAGGACATAGACATAGTGCTAGGAAAACAAAATACTCCATCATGTGTGCATCAGCTGAAAGTGGGTTTTAAATAATAACAATTTTTAACCAGTCACTAGTGTTTTTAAGTACTGATAGAGGTATAGACATAACATTATGAAATTACTTTAGAGACTAACTCTTGCCAGTGGTTATTTCCTTAGGTACTGAACCCTTGAGACTCTCACCTCTTCAACAGCACCTTTGGAAATAACTTGTTTTGTTGCCTCAAACATGCAGTGCAGTGCCCGATTTGGGGTATCCACCAAGAACATTTTTACTGGAGCAGTTTGACTGATTTTGCCCCAGATTGGCTGGTACTTGTGAAAATCAAGGTTCTCTGTAAGCAAATTGTATGTCTCAAGATCCTGGTCTCCTCACTCTTGGGTGACTGGGAGATCAGGTTCAGGAGCAGCTTACACTATGCTCCTGGAAGCCTAAGCGATAACAGGAGGTGAGAGAATGAGAAAAAAATCTTGTCAAACACAGAAGAATGGATAAACATGAGTTGAGAAAATGAGGCAGAGGGAAGTGTGTGCGTGCACCATGCATCCCTTATGATACGTATTTTTTGTATACATACCACGTTCGCTTATTTTTTCCCCGACTAGATGCTGTATGGGATCACAGTAAAAACAGGAGACTCTTCTTCCAGTAAACAGCACTGCCGTCTCTCTGTCTAGACTTACAACAACACTGTCTGAAAAAAAAGATTAACCAGGTCATGAGTTTAGATTAACCTGATTTTCAAAGACTTTTCCTCATGCTGTTGTAAATTGAAATTGTTAAGTAGCTCCAAAAGGTCACTGAACATTTGGATGCTGAATTTCGCTCATCACTACTAAGAGGAACTGGCAGAGGGTGCAAGGATGCTTGACAGTGTTACAGCTTGTGCTGGAAAGTATTGGCTTGACTTTAATTAGTCTTCAGAGGAGGTAGCAGTTTGTTGACAGCACCTTTATGAATTGGCTCATAAAAACATTCTATTAATCCCAGCCCAGGTCACAGTGACCAGATATTCACCGAACCGCTGTACCGTAGAAAAATAGGACAGCTGGTAATACCTGAAGATAAAATAGAAGCATATTTCTTGTCTTTTCTAAAGAGCAGCTTAGCTGTTGTTAACATAGGGCATATTAAGCCTAACTAATAATAACACTGTTGTGACTCATTGAATTTTGGACCTTGGTGGTGCCCTTCAGGGAGAGAAAAAGTATCAGCAGAAACAGGAGATACATCGGTATCTTGAATATTCAAACTTGCATTTCCAGGGCTTTGCTGTTAAAAGGCAAACGAGATGGGAAATACCAGTGTTGAGCTTGACTTTGCATCCTTTGTTTGCTCTCCCATATGCCCCAGCAGGCTTCATGATGGGGCCAAGAACTGGTGTTGTAGGCTCCATAGTCTGCTGCAGAGCGTGAAACAGCTTCAGCTTATTGCTGTTGAAAGCACAGCTAACCTCAGCCACCTTTTTGGTTTCTAGGTGCACCAGCATGGGACTACGGAAGCAGAATTACACAGAGGCTTTTCTAAGATACTTTGTGCCTGAATCGCTCACAAACATAGTCCCCATCCACCTGGCAAAGAAGGGATCCACTGCCACGTCACAGCCAGGGCAGATGGAGGCAGGCGGCGAGGTCTGAACAGACGCACCCTCTGGCATGAGGTGCCTGGCCAGGGTCCTGCCTGTCTCCTGCATCTCTACAGCTAAGCCGATGGGACCATCTGGGATCAATATGCACTTGCATTAATCTGTAACCAGAAAAAAATGCTAGGATTTAGTGTTTTGGATAATTTTTGAGATTATTTTTCTCTTAAAGTTGGCAATTTTTAAACATGCCAGCTCGTGTGTCTGTGCAGCATAGCCATGAAGCCAGTGTTGGAAAAGGACGACTGCCACGTTCACTGTTTCTAGACATTGTCAGCACATATACATGTTGGAGATTTTTTTTTCCTTAATTCCCCTTTTGACTTCTATGCTATTGAAGCCAGAGAGTGGATAGCAGGTTTTTCTAAACACATTCTTTATTCATCTTTCAGTTACAGTTTTCTCCAGCTGGAAACCAAAGCATGAGCAATTTCCAGTGGACAGGCTGTTACTTAAAAAGAGCTGTGGAAAAGGCAAATGTTTTTCAGCCAATTCAACTGGGTGCTCGTCTTTTGCATTAAGCTTGTGAGAGAGTTAAGACAATTTAAGGCCTCAAGTGGCACTTTCTGCACTGGTTTAACTAGATTTGACTAAGCTAAATTCCAGGGTTTTTTTTTGGTGAAGGGGAAGCCGTATCATTCCAGTGAATGTTAAGACACAGTGAGTATTTCAGTAGCTGTCTGCAAAACTTTCCTTGTGTCAGGCCTCTAGCTTTGAATCTTCCGTCCTGGACGCTGCTCTAATTGTTTTGGTTCCCTTGTGTATTGGAAGCTACTGAATATAAGTTTGTTAACTTTACGCACAAATCTAAGTTCTACAGGTCTATACCTAATTGTGAAAGAGTATGTAAAGATTCAACTGGTCACATTAGTGCAGTTACAATATCCCAGTAATTTACTCTCCATTGTCAAATGCACTGTTACGATCAGTTTTGTACACTTGTTTCATCCGATTGACTATTGCTTCTGCTAATCTGGTGCTGGAATGTACAGAGTAAGTGAAATTAATTTAAGCAGGCCCTAATGTGAAGGCTACAGCAAGCCTGGTGTTTAAGCTCCTCTTCTGAAATCACCCTGACAACTGTTGTATTTTCCCCTCTGGTGGTGTTGCTATTTCTCCCATTTCCCCCTGACTCTGGGTGGTTTAATACTGCAGCTGAGGACGGCAGAAGATGCTGTCGGTGCTGAGCGCGGGCCGTACTCGGGGCCGGGGCTGGGCCCTTCCTGACGGCCAGGGTCCGATTTTCCTCAAGCTCTGCGAGACGCCGCGCCCAGGCGGCACCCGGCCGGGGCCCAGGCCTC